AATAATTATGAATTCAACAATGATTACTGCCTGATGACATTTTCCCACATCTGCAAATCTCACTGGAAGGACACAAACCGAGGACAATATTTTCCTGATGTAGGGTTTATTACTCAAGTAAGAGTAAAAAAGTATCTGATTAGAAGGCTACTTGAGTACTGAGTATCATCTGATCTAATATTTTTAAAATGATGACATCAAACAGACAAGAAATAAGAAGTTACAGGCAAATATTGGCATTTTAAAGATTAAAGGGAAAAAATGTAAACAAATAAACAACATAATTACAAAATAACACATTTTAGGCAAAATTTAGACACAAACTGATGACAATATTTTCCTAACATACAGGGTTTATTTAACTGTGTGAAAATGTAGCATGTTTAAAAAAAATACTGCGATAATACCGAAAACCGTGGTAATTTTGGACACAATAACCGTGAGGTTACATTTTCACACCGTGACAACCCTACCGTCCACTACAGGACAAATTTCTACTTCTCGAAAAAAACCCTCAGATTTGTCATGTTTAGACATTTTGGGTAAAGGAGAAAGCTGAAGAGTCTGACGTACAATATGTGCACGGTAAGTAAAAGTTGTGTCATTGAAAGAGTAAAAACCCACACAGATCATTTTAATGTTACATGTCTGTGGATATTAGGGAACATGCCTACAACTTAGTGTGTTGTGCTGTCTGAGCCATCTTTACACCAAACACCCTACTTGCATAGCAAACAGCACATGTGGGACAACGAAAGTGATTCTGACTAATTTACACAAAACCCATCTGCAGGCAAGTGGTTCAGCAAAAATAGATTCCCTCATTTGAAACAAATCCATCCCATACAGCAAGTATAATCCCGATCTAATTTACAAAATGACTGCCTCACAACTCATTCAGTTGCAGGATTAGGCTCCTAATTCCGCTCTCCGCGTGGATCCTGCTACAAAGACTAAATTCCTCTTGTTTACAGTCAGGGAAGACAATTGTCATGCTGGAGGAGACGCGCTGCAGTGGGACCCAACATTCCCATGAACACTGCAGAATCAAAAGGAAGACTGTGTGTAAGGGCGAGGTGAACAGCAGCTGACGGAGTGGAAATAAGGTCCAGTAATAATAAAGGAATGAGGGTTGTTAGACATCAAGCAGTCAGATATTAAATACAGGAAATAGTTTTCCAGCAGGTCTCTGGTGTTTCTGCAGCAGCTGGACTGACAGCCAGCAGATGCTGTTTGATAAAGCTGCTCTGATGATTTGAGGCTGAAGAAAGCATTAGAAATAGTAAAGTGTTAAGGATGGAGCAGATAGCTGCAGAATCCCTGCATCAGCACCCAGCAGGATGAGGAGGACTCCCCATGAAATCATCATCTAATGTTTCTGTTTACAGGACGGTGGAGCAGTCAGGGACTTTCATTTAAATACACCGTCCATCACTAAACAGTACAATTACACGTGTCAACCGCTTATTTCTACAATCTCTTGATACTTTTGAAATAGAATTTGCTAACTGAGGTTTCATAAAGAAAAACCAAGGAGGTGATGTAAAAAACAAGCTGGATCTGTGTTTTATTCTTGGTGTTTTACAACCCGCCTCTTGATCCTCACATCCTTCTCAGAGGTGGATAAAGACAGACAGACTCACACCCATGTCCAATTAGTCGACGTGTGGCTGAACTCCGAGCAGGAATCCAGGATTTTCCCTGCTGCTGCGTCACAGATTCCCATTGTGTGTCTGCATCAGCCTGAGGTGAGCCGAGCCTTCTGCTTCAGCAGCCGAATATCTAATCTGCTCCAACACCATCTCAGACTCTGTCTTTACTTACAGCCTCTCTTTCTGAAACATAATGTCTGCAAGGGTTTATGGAGCATTTGCAAACATTTTCACCAAAACACTGAAATGTAAGATGTGCAGCTTCACTTTTTATTTGGTCAGGTAGCAGTGCTCATAGCTGAGAACAAGCAGCACCCACACAGCTCACCTACGTCACCAGAGCAGTTTCCCACCAACAGACAGTTTAACTGACATAAAGCACAAAAACCAGACTGCACACTGGGGTTAGAATAGAAGAGAATATGTTTCTAGCGAGACAGTTCCTATGACAACATACAGGTGACTCACCAGCCAGTGATGCAGTTGCCCTGACAACCTGCAGAGTGTAGCTTTGCTATGGGAGACAAGCGATTGAACGGAGCACGCTGTGGGTGATTAGTTGTTGTGGGTGTCGGAGAGAATTAAGAGAGCTGGAGGAAAAGCTCAAACTAAAGCCCAACAATAAAAAAACAGGCACACCATCATTCAGGGAATGCCATCGATGGCATTCCCTGAAGGAATGCAGACCAGCTGCCACCGTTTGTGTCAGAGTTCAACATCATTCATGGTGAGAAACAGAAGCAGAAATATGGGGGGTTGTAGAACCCTAGAAGGAGCCATAGAAACACAGGCCATTTACCAGTGTATATGTATATGTGTGTACATGGAAAGAGTTTTGTACAAAAGAAACTCATTTGACCAGGAAGTATGTAAGTAATCAGTGAGACAAATTCATTGGTATTACTCTTAAAGATCGGTGAAGGGCTCAGACTTTCATTGATGGCTGATTAATTTGTCCCATCGCTCAAACATGGCGCACGGAGACAAAAACATCACTGCCCATCCGAGCTTTAAGCTAGTTAGAAAAAAAAAGACTTTTCTATCCCAACTTTCCCTGAAGAGAAGTTATTATACACCTGTATTCACTACCTAAACCTCTGTTACTGCACCCCAGGGCAGCTGTGGCTACATCATAGCTCATCCCCACCATCGTGTGAATGTGGGTGTGAATGAGTGAATGACTAATTGTGTTGTAAAGTGCCTTGGGGGGTTCCAGGCAATATATATACTACAGGCTGTTTACCATTTAAACCAATAATTTCATTCATCCAATAACTTTTTATGATCAATTTACAAAAGTTGGTCGATTCAACTTGAATCTAATTAAAGGTGTGGTTCACTACATTAATCAATACGTTTGCAGTGGTTTCTAGTAAGAATAAATGTCTTGTAAGTCATACTCAGGGGGGAAGAATCCTCTGGTGCGCCAGTTTCAGGAACTAGAAGTGAGACACATCACAGCTGAGCATCAGACGGCAGGATTTGGACTTATTTCCTGATATTTGGACATCTCACCTTGGACTGGCTAACAGCAATATGACTATCACTGACTGCTTGCTCTGCAACGTGGACGTTTTATCTCCACAAATAACACAAGCCGTGTGGTGGAGTTGTTAATGCTAACAGTTAGCTTCTACTAGCCGAGACGTTCTCTGCTGTTTCCTGGACGCTAAACCAACAACAGCCTTCCCCGTCATGAGTCAAGATGGGTGAGTCCATGAATGTAAAGTGACAGTGTGACGTAGATAGTTCTAATCCGAGAGTTTCACCGTCTATTTCTATCAGAATCTAATCCAGGAGATAGGTGTAGGAGACTATTTTCATGTTCAGCCTGCATTAAAAACTCAGACTAGCAGATTATAATCTGAAATTATCATTAAAATTTTTTTTTTTTTTGGTGAATCACATCTTCAAAGTTATTCTGGTAAGAATCTAATAAATACAAACCTAACAGCCAAGCACGTGTTTAATTCACCAACCTTCAGTGATCGATCAGTCAGAGCGTATGATACAAAAAATAAGACAAAGAAACGAACCCTCTTAAGAATTAAAGCTGGAGTCATTCGCTGTAAAAACAAAAACTCTTAAGTGTTTGTATCCAAATGAAAACTACTCTCACCCACAGTTTCCACACCTGCTCACTGCCTAAACACTTTATTACACAATCTGTTTAGTTTATAGTCGGTTCATTTGTTCAACTAACATTTCTCCAATTCTGAAATCTCTCCACTGGTTGCCCGTGCAGTTCAGGATAAACTTCAAAATTATGCTTCTGACTTACAAATCCTTGAACCATCAAGCTCCTCCATATCTGTGTGAACTTGTCCATTACTACAACCCGCCGCGTGCTCTCAGGTCTGAAGATAAGCTCCTCCTAGCTGTTCCGAATGCTCGTTTAAAAAGCCGTGGAGAGAGGGCTTTCTCTGTCTGTGCACCCAAGCTGTGGAACGCATTACCACTGCTAGTGAGGCTAGCACCAACAGCTAGCATTTTTAAATCACGCCTGAAAACTCACTACTTCACCCTAGCGTATACCACATAATTATGAACCTCACTTACATCTACACTGTTTAAAAATGGACTTCACAATTATCAACTTCCGTATTATTGAGGTTCTTTTTTTAAATGTTTTTCTAATTTTTTATTCACCCTGTGTCTTATTGATTTTTAGCTGTTATTTTTGGGACTTTTGTTGTATTTCCTTTTTATATTTTATCTGTGTTCGACATGTTTGTATAACGCCTGTTTAATTAACTAACATTTTTAGTGTACAGCGCCTTGTTTGGTTGTAATGCCTTGTGAATGCGCTTTATAAATAAAATTGGATTGGATTGGAGCTAAAGTCGTGAAAGTTGTACATCAGGAGTTTTAGATGAATAGCTGCTTTTAAACTGAAAAACACCCGATAAGAGTGCACCCCTTCATTTGTTTCCTGTGAAAACAGACTCAGGCGGATAACAGCAAAGATCCTGGAGAGCTGTGGAGCCCTGAGCTCTCCTTATTATAGGAGTTCAAGGCAAGGCGGCACATTTCATACACAGAGGCAAATCAATGCACTTTCCAGGAGCAAAAACAACAAAATCAACATAACAGCAAAATTAAAATACACATATTAATTTAGATTAAGTTTTATAAACCCATTCAATTCTGATTTAAGAATTAGATAAAAGGCAAAGTTTAAGGGGGGGTTATTACAGTGCAGAAGATGCGCCATAAGAAACAATCATCCATAGGCTGATGAATGCATGAAGGTTTTCCATTTTGATTTAAAAGTTACTAGAGTTGGGGCACAGTAGAGGTTAAATGAAACTTTTATGTTGATCAACACCAAGATCCAGTTTCACTTACCATTACGAGAGCAGGCGTTGAGCTTGTGGTTGATGTCGAGGGAGCTGGGTTTGCGTGTGACGGCGGTGGTCACAGACTCGTACGGGTTGTCCTCGTCCTCCGGCAGGAACACATCCAGCGATGGAGAGGTGACGATCTCTGTTGAACGCTTGGGCTCCTGAGGTGGGACAGAACGGAAAACAGGAAAACTTTGGGTTACAAAAACAAAAACAAGTTACTTTTCTCTCTCAAACCAGTTCTTTACGGAGGGGTTAAACAAAAGATTATTTGTACTCCCGAGGCTTTCCTCGTCACGTTGTGATGGATTCAGGTTGCCATCTTATCACATGGTGCGAATGGGTGTGAGAAAGAAAAACAGCAAAATAACCTCTGGGAACAAGAGTGTTGTTTTTATTTTACTCAAGGGCAAGAAAGCATCACAATGGAATGAGAAAAGAACGCAAACAGAATCCGCTCTGTGTTCTAAAATAAGACGAAATGTGTTCATAACATCCAAACACTGGCATCCATTATCACTATCAAACCAGTCAGAATAAGCCAGATGGTGATGAAATTGGACTAAAAGAGTTTAAATAAATTGGTTAATAGTTAGTTGAAATTTGTTTAAAGGGGCCACATCATGGAAAATCCACTTTTTGGAGCTTTTACCATGTGATATCATTATTTCCTCATGAAACAAACCCTTTATAGGCTTCATTCAGGCATTTTACTGCCTCAGCTGCAAATTTAGAATTTTATTTTGATAACTCTGCAAAATCCTCAATGGAAGTGCATCACCAAGCATTGCTCCTCCCCTTGAAGCTATTCTCAGATCAAAAACCCACTTCCCCTGGAAGTAGGTCACTAACGACCACCTTCTCCGAGTTGCAGGAATAGAGCGGTTGATTTCATGCCACAGTTAAGAATGTGACCTTCATGTCACAGATGACTGCTTTAAACCTCCACCAGTACCAAAGTGAATACTCTTGACAAATTACTTCTGCACTGGGGACAAAATGCTGATGTACAAACGTGTCCTGTCCACAGATGTACATAATGGCCAGCACAGGATATGTGTGTGTGTTACATTTGTAACAGACTTGGTGGTCTAGTGGTTAGGGTAACTGAATGGTGTGTTGTTTTTCACTGGTTTGACTCCCAGGAGTAACTTTTATTAGCTACACTTGCCAGTATCATGTTTTCAACTCTTTATCGGTGACAGTTTAAAATATAAGGACTAATCTGTTTTTGTTTACTTTCTTTGTTTATTTAGCCAGTGTGAGTCCATGTGAGGGGAGCAGAGTTGCTGCTTGGAAACAACCAAATTCAAAGACCTTTAGAGACACAAAATATTTTGCAAAAATGAATCAATAAAACAAAAATAAATAAAGGAGTCTGTTTCAGCTGGCTAAATAAAATACTGCTGACACTGGGAGTCGAACCAGCATTAGGGCATGCTAAAATAAGATTAAAGGTGGTCGCTTTAACCACAAAACTACCACAAAAATACCAAGGCCAGTACAACAACTGACTTGACGAAGATGCTGTTGTAGACGCGTTTTGTCAGCGCATGTGTGAGCTTCACTGAAACAAACCATATCCAGGTACAAATTCAGGCTGATGAAAATAACTCATCTTTAAGATAAAATGACATATCAACAGTGCCAAAAGTAATATTTTATCATATATTGTGCCTACCTTTGCTCTCAAAGATTTAACATAGCATGAACTGGCTCCTTTATTGTCAGATTTAACCAAAAACATTTTATTAATTTAAATTTGCTCAGTGGGGGAAAAAAGAGTTTCCCACAGAAAAGAAACTAACATTATATAATTAATAACTTGTGATCATTTAAAGCTAAAACTATCATTTTAAGATGATCTAAACACAGAACACGAATAAAAAGCTAATTTCTCGGCCATTCTTTGGGACCTTTTCCTTCCTGAATGCGCAGCAGGAGATTTTTCACATTTTGCAGTTTTAGTGAAAAGGTTGAGCCCCAACGGGATCAGAGAGAGTAAGCCGAAGCCCAGAGGCCTCTTATCAAGTAGCAGATGTGTCCCGAGAAAGAATGAAAAACAAGAGCGACCGATGTGAAACAGGGAAAAAGGTTGCAGGGGCGGGAATACTTCCAACCACTGAGACACAACATTTTTTCACCCACCACACATCCTGTAGACGTCGGCCTCTTTCCCACAACACAACGCTCATCACTTCTGGAGTGTCTCCTGGCAATCTGCCCTGGTTGTAACCTTCCTAACTGGATCAGTGGTAAACACGTCGCCATAGTAACAAGTTATGTCATCTCGGTGCTGCTTAAATATATTTACAAAGATGTGACTCCATCATTGCCTTCCTTTTTTGACATCCATTACTCTTCTTGTCATTATCTGTTACTACATTACCCACACTGCACCAGGCTATCAATCACACCGTGTGAGCGTTCAGAATGAATAAATCACTTTGGCTGATGGAGCAATCAGCCCTTTGATGATTTCTCTCACTCAGTCTGAGATTTATTTCACCCTTCACTTAATGAAAGGCCAACAAACTCAAAAAGTCATCCTTCTCTTTTTCCATTCACCTCTCCGTCTCCATCAGCACCCAATTAGATTTCCATTACTAGCTAATGGCAATTCAGTCAGTCGCTCCATGGGTGGTCTGGAATCAGCCAGCGCTGATTCGACTTGACAGCCTAGTTTAGCCACAGATTTCACACATCAAGCTGAAAAACAGCAAAACCTTCAACGAAGCTTTAAAACGTGACGCAAAGCAAACCACAAATATAGAATATGAGATTTTACATGTAAAACAAAGATGTCCTAATGTTAGTTTATTTCTCCCACATGATAAACATTTACTCAACTCAACTTTATTTATAAATCGCGCCTTACAGGCAGAAAGGTGCCACCAAGGTCCTACACAGATCAAGTAAAAACATAAAACATTAGGTCCAGAAATTACAAACATTGTATAATAAGATACCGATAAAAAACACAGTGAATGCATGGGTCGCTTTAAGTAAAACAATAAAAACTAGTGAGAAAGATTAAAAGACAGATCATAAAAGTAGGTTTTTAACATTGCCTTGAAAACCGCAACAGAGGTGGAGGCCCTTATGCGGAGAGGAAGCTCGTTCCAAAGCTCAGGACCTGCCACAGCAAAGGCCCTATCACAACGCGTCTTTAGGCGCGATCTTGGGACCGAGAGGAGCATGAGGTTCTCCGAGCGGAGTGACCGTGCAGGGGTGTACGGTTGAAGCAGTGACACCAAGTAAGGAGGGGCCAACCCATTTAACGTTTTAAAAACCAATAAGAGTGTTTTAAAACAAATCCTTACATAAACAGACAGCCAAAGAAGCGCAGCCAGGACAGGAGTAATGTGGTCATACTTGCGCCTGCCCTCTAAAAATCTGGCAGCTGCATTCTGCACCATTTGCAACCTGGCTATTGCGCCCTTGCTCACACCAAATAAAACAGAGTTACAGTAATAAAAGCATGGACTACAGCCTCAAGATCATGTCGTGACAGGAAAGGTTTGATCTTTGACAGCCGACGAAGGTGGAAAAAGGAGGAGATCACTCCATTCATGTGGATGTCAAAACAAAGGGCACTATCTAGTTTAACACCAATATTAGTCACTGAAGCACTCAGCTGGCCATTAAATGACCCACAGTCAGTTAGGGAAGAGTCACAATTTTTGCTTGGTGCAAACAATATAGCCTCTGTTTTCCAATCATTTAGGCTCTGAAATTTTTCACTCATCCAGGTCTTGATCTCTGTCAAACAATTCACAAGATTAGAAATAGAGAGACCACCTGACGTGTTCAGAGGAAGGTACAGCTGACAATCATCAGCATACAGGTGGAAGTGAACTCCAAGCTCACGACAGATATCACCTAAGGGAAGAATGTAAACAGAAAACAACAAAGGTCCCAATATCGAGCCCTGTGGTACCCCCAGGGTTGATCAGAGTACTCTGAGGAATAACTTCACATCCTTACACGCATCTTTCTATTTGTCAGGTATGATCTGAACCATTCCAGGGCTAACCCAGAAATACCGACATAATGATGGAGACGGTGAAGCAGCACTTCATGATCTATCGTGCCAAAGGCAGCCGTGAGGTCCAGCAGAAGTAACAACAAAGAATTACCGCTATCAGTAGCTAGATAAATGTCATTGTGCACACTAACCAGTGCAGTCTCAGTGCTGTGTAGAGCGGAGTGGAGACTGGAAAGTCTCAAAAATGGCATTATCATCCATAAAAACATAGAGCTGGTAGTAAACACATTTCTCTAGTACCTTACTTAAGAATGGAAGTTTAGAAATGGGCATGTAGTTTGCAGACAGCGAAGCATCCAGTCCAGGCTTTTTGAGCAAAGATTGAATAACCGCCTTTTTAAAATAGTCCGGGACTACGCTAGAGCTTACGCTCATGTTAATTATGTGCAATATTAAAGGGGCGACTACTGGAAAGACTTCTTTAAAGAGGCGCGTAGGCATCACGTCATCTGGCGAGCCACTCGGCTTAGCCTCCCCAACGATCTTGATCAAGTCATCTAAACTAATTGGTTGAAATGCTACCAAACCTCTGATAGCAGTAACATAAGGACTACATACCGGTGCCCTAGACATGGTAGCCCGGAGCGCAGCTACTTTCCCCATAAAAAAGTCAAGGAACTCATCACACATTTTAGCTGAAGCCTGCACCACATGGTGATCATTGAATTTCAGAACCTGAGTTAATTGCGGTATAAAGTACTCTGGGGTTGTTTGAGTTAAAGGAAATTAGATTGGAATAATATGCAAATTTCGCAGATCTAACTGCCTCTTCGTAAGATTTCCAACTGTCATGTAGAGCAGTTAGGCAAACATGCAGATTAACCTTCTTTCACCGTCTCTTGTATCTTCTACAGCTCTCTCTTTACCACGACAGACTGGCTCAGCGTCCGCATCACTGCAGATGCAGCCCCAATCCACCTGTTGGTCTCTCGCTCTCTTCATCCCTCCCTCGTGAACAAGACCCCAAGATACTTGAACTCCTCCACTTGAGGCAGGACCTCTCCCAAACAGAAGTTGGCAAGCCGCCCTTTCCCAGTAGAGAACCTTGGCCTCGAATTTGAAGGTGCTGATCCTCACCCAGTCAGTATAAAGTTAATCTCTTTAAAGTAAAAA